TTATCTCCTTTGCTTTTAATCAACCGAAGATTCATTATTTTATCACTCGCATGGCCATAAAATATACCGCAGCCCCATTTTAACAAATATGCGCATATTCTATTTTTTACATTAAAAAATGCAACTAATTTTTTGATTCATCGACCAGCTAATGTTTTGTTTTTTGTTTTCTTTTCCTTTAAATTTTGAATTTTGTTCATACGTTCATATATAGATTATAGGTTCTTGTGTAGTTCGTGCATCAAGAAAAATTTGTCGCGCTATGTGTTCGTTATGTGCTTCCGAGTTAATTAAGGAAGCCATATGCATTAAGAAAAGTTCGAAACAAAACGAATTTAAATTTTCTTTTGTTTCGATATTCAGTACGCTGTAACCGAGAAAAAAAGTCTGCATAATAAAGTAATTAGTTTTGGTAATTAATTAGTCGTTATGTGTGTTTATTTAAATACTCCAATTCAATTCAATTATAGATTCGTTAAACACTTATATAGGCCGGTAGGAACTTCAGGTCAAATTTGTTCGAGTTATTTACAAACCGCTCAAAAAATAAAAATTAACAATAAATAAATACAGTTAAATTAATGATCATTTATTATAATTATATTACATAATTACTATTATTGTAATATAAATTGTGGAATTTTTTATATCTTTACTTTTAAGTTTACCAAATAAAACAGAACAAAAAAGGAGGAGTGTCATTATTTTAATTTTTAATTTTAATTTTAATATAAAAATTGAAACTAATTATAACAAATAAAATTATGAATTACGATAAACAACATAACGACATTCTACATTTAGTTTCTTAGTTGTTTGTTGTGGGTATAGGAGTGAAAATGAAAAAAAAAGTCCCGAGATGGACTACGCCACCTAAAAAAAGTAATGTATACAGAAATATCAAAAATTTTGGAAACATCACAGTACTTTTTTATTTATTGGGTGATCCGTCGGGTACCACTGAATAAAGCTAAACGATGTTCTTAAAATCGTTTTATCAGATGTCTCCAAGGGACTCAATATTGAGGTTGTAGCTCTTAACATTTTCATTATTTCTGCATAGTTTAAATCTGATATCTTTTAGCGCTCCAAACATATAAATAATCTTCAATATAAATGTTTTACAACCTATGTTCAAAAGTACTCAAAAGTACGCAAAATAAAAATAAATGAGCTATACTGTTTTCTTCTATGCAGGTGATAAAAAACTCTATGGCAAACTAATACCTATAGAGATACTTAGTATACGAGTTGCAGAAAAATTGTTATATTTGTATCGTCATGTGGCATCAATTTTTAAAAGAGCGTAATTTTTTATTTAAATGGTTCCCCTGTTGCTGCCCTATATAAAATTTTTGAAATATCTGAGGTAAAAAATAATTTTTCAAGTTCGCTTCGTCGTTGGATTGGTTACGGTTACGTAGCTATCTCAAAAATTGCAAAATCAATTCAAATTGATGCAAACATTCAACTTTTTCAACTTCTTAAAGAAAATTAAACTCCATGTGTTGTACAGCAGTTTATGCACCATCGTACTAAAATTTTTTAACTAGCTCTATGTCAAATTTCCAGATTTTTCTTTAGTTTTGAACTACTCTGTACACATTCTCATGTGATAAATAAATATCTGAAACTTTTTCCGGAAGTTGTCAAAGGTATAAATACAGAAATTCATTTTCACGGGAATGGGGCATGATTTTGCAATTTGAAATTTCTAATGTCATGGTGATGATTTGTAGTACTCTTATATAGGTTTAACCTTCCTCAAATCTTTTAGTTAGGCTTTGGTATTTTGCCCAAAGTGTTACTTGATCGTTCCGTTTTTATGAAAAAAAATCTGGTTTCGTTCTTTGCGGTTAACATGGTGTCCCGGCGTGCTGCGTGTTGGGGTGATTTTAATATCTGCGGAGTTGGTTGAAGGTATATTAATCTCCATATTTTAGTGAAAGTGGGTAGTACTGTAACGGTTTGTCAGGTTTTGGATTTGTTTTTTCTTTTGCAAATCGTGTAATTCCGTATACAAGTTCAGAGAAAGTTTTCGGTTTTCCATTCGGCCTTTTGTTTATTTATTTTTATAAAATCGGCCAAAGAAATTATGTTGACGTTATAAGCTCGCGTGGATAATAGATCAGAAAATTGCTCTAAGATGATGTGGCGTAATAGTGATTGTTATATGCGCAACGCGTAATTTCCTGATATCTTAATAAAGATTTGCTACAGATAGAGAGAGGAGTGAACCGTTCCGAGTTGTCCAGAAAAAAAAAAACAAGCTAAAAATCCAAAGACGTAAAAATAATTAAAGATGGCGGTTAATATTTAAAAGCGAGCGGTAATTAAGGTGGCGTGTGTTTTTTTTTAGTTTTGATTAATGGATATCGCTTGGGATTCGAACATTGGCGGGCCAGGTATGGAGTTGATAGATGAGGTAAAAGCGAGTGGAGAACAAAACAACTCCCACTTTTCCATTACGCTTAATATACGTAGAAAATTAAAACTCTGCGTGAGTTATATCGTGCGAGAGTTAATGACAAAAAACGAATAATATGCTATAAGTGAATGCCGCCCATGGACGCAGGCAGTGCCATTTTTTGGAGGGGATTGAAATTAAACCCGAGCAGCCATTTTATTTAGAAACGTTTCTTTAAAAAGATTTGTTCTTATAGAATCCTTTTTATTCTAACAATAAATTCATTAAATAACGATTTGCCTATATGCTTTATGTCTACAGAGTGCTTCAATGTTCAATGTTAAAGGGGTCATTCCTTGTTCAATGTAAAAGTCAAAAGTTAACTAACCATTTGGGATATATCGTTGTCTGGAAACCAGCATAGCATAGCATAGCATTAATAGTTATAAGTTAGTTTCATACATATTTGTTAATAAATTATTTTTTAAGATTCAATTATGGATCAATATTGGTTCAAAAACACTGTACGGAAAGGTATACTTAGTGATGATAGTTTAATGACAACATATTGTAAATGTTGATTAAATTAAAATTAAATTATTTTCCCTGCTGAGTATGCATTGGTTATTAGATATCAAATTAGAAATATGTAGTTTAACTTATTTGAACATCTTAATTAAACTGACAATTTGTTTGCATTAATTTCTAAACAGCGAAACTGCGTGTGAGGGCGATAAGGCGCCTTTTACTTTATTATTAAGTACGTTATTATCTATGAATAGTTACACAATAAAATTTGAGAGAAAATTTTTACCTTGACGGATTTGTATCTGTTGATAAAATTGTCGTTATCAGTTTTACTATATCTTCGCCATGCGTTTATGTAATAGTTCCATTTTTTCGTTGATGCTGTTCTTCCAAAGAGTTCTGAATGACATTGTATGTGTTGTACGTAAATTTCATCGAACGGTTTTTTTCGCAATGGCTCAGGGTAAGTTTGCCGATGATTAAAAGCGTTGGAAATTCAGGTCTCTCGATAGCAAAAAAAAAAAATTAGAACGTCCGAAAGAAATTTGTTCGAATTTTTTTTCGTAACCGCAAGAGAATGTACCGCCGCCAGTGAGTATATAGGATGTATCGCAGCGGGTCGACAAGATGGCGGCGGTATTATCGTGACCGCTTCAAAACGCGGCTCTCGTTCCAACGAATGACTCTACGCGGGAGACAAAGGTGTGGTTCATAAAATTTCTGCTACCCCACGGTTATATCTCACACCCATTGTCTTTCCATGCTCCTCCCAATTCCAATATACAGTTACGATGCAATTGCCGTTTCGACGCATGCACCAAAAATCCCTATTCCTATACACGCATATAGTTTCTTGAATCCGCTTTTTTCTATGATTTTCAAAATGAATTTTAATAAATATTTTCTCATTTATTTTTTAAAGGCGTTTTTTGCACGTGGGTGGGGGTATTTGGTATTTATTTGTTCATCATGTTGTTTTTAATGATTTGTAATAAATTTAGTTTACGTGAAATGTATTATTCCCTTGTTTTTTCTTTGTTTGAATCATGCCTTAAATAAATTTTCAAGGACGTCTTTTTTGGGTGGGCGTAAATTGGAGGGTGTTTTTTTTTCTCTGAAAGTACTTCATTGCGTGAATATCGCCATGACAGCAAAAAAAAGTAGCAAAATGTGCCTCTAGGATAATTTCATTAATATACTTTCGAAATGTTTGGTTCTTGTTTGTGTTTTTCTTTTCATTAATCTGTGCTACCTGTATGTTGAGAGAAAGAGCTTAGCTTATTCTCGGTATTAATTGTAATATCTCAGTTAACACTTTTTAAAAAGGCTGGGGTGGTAATACAGCTGGTAGTAATTCTATGTGGAAGCAAGAAACGGCATATGTAATTTGTAATCTTTTTTTAAATCACAAAAAAACCGCAAATTTTTAAAATGAAGTTTGTTCCACTTGTCTGTCACCTATTATCTGTGTCTAGAAGTAAATTTATTTAAATACGCCGTGTGCTCATGCTTGCTACAATATTTGGCCTGACCAAAAAAAATTGATAATTGCATGGACAATCATAATTGCTTCGGTTAAAAATAGTTAAATCTGCGAATGTTCTCGTTGATAACATCGACTTTACGTTATCGTCTAGTATCTTATCGGCTTGTGTATTTATTTCGTATTGCCTGTTTTATCTTCAGCCAACAGTTTCATGATAGCGTTACACGCGTCGTTTTCAGAGTGTTGTTCGTTCGTTCGATGTAATTTTCAGTTTATTTTTTGTTCCCTTATTAATGCCTGGACTCTATTAACCATGAGAGACTCGGTAGGTACCTCTTATCGTCTTATTTGTAGTTTCGAACAAAATGTAACTGAAAACTGGTTGTCACATTCTTATATACTTAATTTAAATTCCATCGTCAGCGCCTTATTATATTTAATATTGGGCAGACAGTAAATAACTTTGTTAATTGCTTTTTGATTTACGTTGTACATTCTGAAATTTGTTAGTTAATGCCGCTGCAGTTGATTTTGAACACTAAAATTGATCTTAGTAAGCGTCACTCTTTTTTTTTACAGGATATGGATTTAATTGAAGCTCTGTGGAAACAAGACGTCGATTTGGGGTTTTCGTTGGAAGCAGCTAGTCAGAAAGAAGATACGATTAAGAAAGATTGTTTGGAAGATGAAGCGACTACGTCCATACCCCCTACAGAAGAGGAGCATTTGGAGAAAATCAAATGCATCGAAAAAGAAGACATTAAGGTAACGTCATATATCCCAGCATGTTGTATATTGAATGGTGTTTGATTTTGTTTGTTTTCAATTGAAAGGAAGAGGAAATCGAACACGAAGATGAGGACTTCTGGTCTGGGGTGGACTACACTATCGACACCGAAACAGGTGAGTTTTTCAGCCTTTTTTTCGAAAAATTCAAAATAACTCTCCATTTCACCGTAAGCACGATTGAGATGTGTTGAAGCATTTCATACAACAGCTGCAGATTATATTAACCGTACAGAATCGCACAAGAACTTATGTGGTTAATTTTCCGTGTCAAATTTTTCAATTGGCCATTGTTTTTAATTGATGTTGAATGTTAATTTCTTTTTATAAAGGCTATATATACTTACATATTTTGGAGGCGGGAATTCACTCTGAAAACGGCACATTTTCGTGTTCCGTTTGGCTTCGAAATAAAATAAAAAATGCACCTGCCCAGTATGTTTCGAAGTGAAATAATTGAATCGATTTACTGAAGCGACAACTTACAAAGTGAAATTTTAAATTATATTTCGATTTTCATTCTTTTTTCACTTTCACCCCGTATACCTTACCTAAAAGGAATTCGTCGCCTCAAATTATAGAAGAAAGTATTTTAAAGACGGCGAGGGAAAGTACCCGAAGGGACCAGAAAATAATTGTTAAAAATAAATATAATCATTAATACAGGACTTCGGATAATAGAAAAAAATTGCTGACGTCATCAGTTGTCACAAAAAGATCATTACTCATAACGGCGGGGCTACTGTTGAAGTATTCTAGGGTAGGAAACGCAGCTTCAATCCATTAATTTGGATGCTAGCACGCAACATTACTTGCGATATTAAATTTTCGTGTTTTTCGATATATATATATATATATAAGTAAAAATTCCGATGAGAAGTTTTTATAGCTATGTGACAAACTAGTTTATTTTTTATTGAACTCTTTTTCTGCAGAATGATCAATTTATTTTTTGTAAATTTATTAGGGTACTTAACAAGCTGTGTAAATTTGAAATAAATATATTGACAAAATAATCTCCTTGCTCTTACAAAGTCTGTATTCATAAGTAAATGAATTTTTATTTAATGATCTATATATGTTTACGCCATGTAAATCTGTTATCATATAATTTAGTATGAAGCGAATTTTGCAAATTTTCGACAATAACATGTTTTACAACATTTCAAAAGAATATGTAAATTTATTTTCATATGATATAGTATGAAACAAAAAATATAGGACTTAACGATAAATTAATGTTTATTGACAAATTACGTCGCACTCAATAGAATGTATAGATTTTTTTTTTTAATTTTGGTTAACATTTTTATTACTGGTGCAATTCTTCAAGAATTTTTTAAGCTCCCGTTATTGTATTGCTTTTTCTTTGTCATTTTTTTTTATCTAAATGTTGTTTTTTTGGATCACAGCGTATATTAAGTGTCAGATACCGTATGAAATCGGGTCTGACGCGGGGTGGGTCTTCTTAGAAGCATTTCTAGATGGTTAATGTGGAGTCACGGTGTAAGCTCGGCCCTGACTATGGGCCGAATAAAAACCCATCGCCTTTTTTACCTCTTATAGCCCGACACCTGCCTTTAAATTACTCAATTTAAAAATTTTAACGTCCAATAGGCACTTGTCTCCTTCTTTTTGTATTATTTATGATAACTTTTATTAAGGAAAATATGGCGTTGGTTCAGTTCATTGTTTTGCCTTTGACGGGTGAAATAATATTGTATATAATGATGGCGCGGGAAGGAGTTGAAAACGATACCGACGATCTTCGCATTGTTTCTTTTTTTTTTTTGCTCATCGGCGTCTTGTAAATGTGAAACGACTCGATACGATTGACGTTGCTTAACATGGGGTCGAAGCAAATCATCAAATGATGTCACTCGTCGAGACCTTTCGAATAAACGACTGCCATATAGAAGAAAACCCGCAAATTTATTCATCACCGCGTAATATCGCGTTCTGAAGTTTTATGTAAGTTGCATAAATTGATAGTGGGGGCAAACTCGGCGAATAGTGATCGGTGATTTGCTGATGGAATATTTTAGTGGTCTGCTCTATTCATACAAGATACGCCCCGATAATGTCGATCGATTCCTCCTTTTTCTGTTATTTCATTTTATTATATATTTTGCTAATTCTATTTAATATACCGAACTTATTTTAAGAATCCGTTTACTAAGAAACGCCTTAAAAGAATGAAGTTTATTAAGAATATCTTTACTTAATTGTTCCTATAATTATATTAATTTTACTGGCTTGGATTTTATTATAAAACTTAAAAAAATGTTTAAAATTATTTCAAAAGTTGATACAAAATCATACTTGACTAATCTGATACATTTTTTATGATTCATTAATAAATATCACTATCCAACTGTTATCGTAGATAAATACGTAAAATAACAAAAATTAAAAAGGCTTATATATTTTTTAAGAATGTACGTGTGGAGATAAGTATAATATATAAATAATCCATGTAAAATATTGATAATACTGTCAATAAAATCAACAACAATTTTATTACAACATTTTTTAACACTGTGTTTGTAAGCGCACACCAATTCATTGGTAAAAGGCATAAATGATACAAATAAAAAAAAAACTCAATTGATGAGTCGTCGATAAAGAAATAAGTTTGTAGCGACTCGCGATGACTCGACCATAACTTTAGTGTTTTCCTAGTATACATGAGTCTGTGGTTCTTAAGGATGATATAATAAACAATGTAAATACAATTCATTCAGTGGCCAGAAGTATTAGGGACAGACGTTATTCTAGACAGTCCGCAGACTTATAGTGACTTTGAATTTTGTTTAACACCCGTATCTAAATATGTGCCTAAACACAAAAACGTTTCGGTGATATATTTTACCCAGCCTATTTTGCCAACATCGTCGAAATTTTTCGTGTTCTCCGTTTTCCCCCCTTTCGTACAAGTCCCGTCGGCTTTTTATCTTGACACCCTATATTCGAAGGGTCGTGTTGAATCGAATAATGTTGTTTTGTAACTTCAAATTCAAAATCAGATATCGAGCGTCGGTTTGCCGAGTCGCGAACAGACAAAATGGCCGACGCAGAAATTCCCCGTCTTATACGCTGCTCGGTCGTCTTTAAATAATGACAAAAGGAGAAACACATCCCAGAAGTCAATCAGAAACCTTCAAAAGGCACGTCATTAAGTTGGTATACCTTTTATGTGGATGTGGGCCTTTTTAAGTGGATTAAAACTTTTAAAAACGCGCACCTCTTGTTACCGCGTGAGAAGAGTCCGCTGTCAAGGTCACGTCATTTTTTTTGTGTCCGTCCTTAAGGCTTTGTTCTTCTTGGTATTCATTTCGAATTTGACTCAACACGGTGCGCATTTGAAGGCACCTTTTTAAACGTCGATCAGCGCACCTGATGCTTTGGGTACTCCTCTTGCCGCCATTTTTGAGTCCTAAAATTTGTTTATCGATTGTGGCAAATACGCAGGAGTCTCGAGAATAAAAGCAGTAAAAAAAGTGTAAAGCATCTCCCCCCCCCCCCAGTGCACGCGGTGCGATAAGAAATAATGGCAAATCCTTAGAACCGGAATCGAAAGATTAATGTTCTCAAGTCGGTATAATAGTTGGGGTTGAAAGTGCTTCGAGTTTCCCCCCTATAGCATTCGGTCCCTGTGCAATTCCCTTTCCCTGGACCCCCATTGTCTGAGTGGCGGCCATATTAGTTGTTCCGAGTTCGCTCTGTTGCCTCTGTTCTGATTGGCTTTTACCAGTTTTCAACTCTCACAGTCCGTATACGCGGTGAACGTAGTAGTGTCGATGCAAAGTATTATGTTGTATCGGCGGATTCGTTCGGAATTGCCATTTCAAACCGAACGAATGTGAATTTTCTAGTGCATTGTCGCAGAGTTTTGTACATAGTTTCGTGCCTTTTTCGGATAACTTTGCCGTTTCGAAGGTAGGTGTGCTGAAACGACATTATTTGACTCTGGATTTCGGACAGGATCATTAGGGATAACAATAGGGGCATATCTATGAAATATTAATGATTTTTTGTTTGGCGTGCATTTCAAACGTCAAAAATCTTATATTGTATCCAAATTTATGATTAATGATTTGTAGTTTGGTTTAATCGTCGTAGGGTATACCTATACAGCCGATAGGTATACCCGAGGGACTTGCGGCATGACTCGTCCGAATTTATTCTTGATCTTGAAAAATGAAATCGATTCGGACTTTTGGGTTTCAATTTTGGGGTGTCGTATATGCTAGGTAGAATATCTTCTGTTAATACCAGCGCAGTAAAAATTTTCATAACTAAACGGAATTATTTTGTTTTGATTCGACGAAAGTGGGTCCTACTTTCTTGCCGTTATAATTATTTCTATTTAATCGCATAGAACAAATTTAGCAAAAATGCTGCTAGGTTGTATAATTTTTGCTTGGCGGTCGGTAAGGTATTATTTTGGGAAAATTACAAATAACACAATTAAAACTGACAAACATTGGCATCGATTTGTTATTTTCGTTGGTTCTGTTAAAATTTGTTTTAGTATAAATGTACATTTAATCGGATATTTTTATTAGGAGTTTAAAGTGAATTTGTTTTTTCAATATGATCATTTATTTATTATTAACGTTAATTACTATGTGGTTCTTATTTCTTTCTTGTCTCTTATTACTTTCCGGCATGTTTCTATTTTTTATTTCTGGCTCTGTTATACTTCAAATGATCGAACAAATATGAAGCGTTTTGGGTTTTCTCCTTTTCCCTTTCAGATATATAAAAAACCAAAAGCAACTATTTTGTTGTCATTCATTCATTCATCATTAATCGCATAGACCAAATTTAGACTTTTTTAAAAATTTAATTAAAACAAAACGTATTGGTATATTTTTGTTCGCAAAAATGCTGCTAAGTTGTATAATTTTTGGTTGGCGGTTGGGGTAAGATATTATTTTGGGAATATTACAAATAACACAATTAAAACTAACTTATTATTTTTATAGGTTTTCTGTTTTTTGTTTAATTTTTAAAATACAATATTTTGTAAAGATTGTCAAGAGGAATATTTCATCAATTTGTGTAACATTCGTTTTAATATAAGTGAACAGTTAATCGGATATTTTTATTAG